CTGAAAATTGGGAGGGTCACATCTCTTAGTCTGAGAACCACAGGTGTGGGAGAAAACACGCTCTTTTGTTCTCCCTAATAAAGCCAGTCAGCAGCCAGTTTCCACCTGCTGGTGGTTATGATTACTGCTGCTGCAGTGTTTATTGTCAGTGCCACTTCAGCTTTTCAGGTTACATAGAGCTTTCTTAGCCGTCTCTTAGGTTGATTTTTGCAGCAGTCTTGTGAGGTAGGCACAGGAGGAGGCATGGCTAAGAGGTCATGTGACAATGACAGTGCCAACATCACAGAGCTGGTGAGTGGCAAAACCAGGCCTTAGGCTTAAGTCTCTTGATTAGCAGGCTGATGCTCTCTATCATCCCAGGTCCTCTCTGGGTGTCCTTGTCTGAACACTGGGGTGGAGTTTGGGCTCGTCACAGGGAATGCAGTAGGAGACTCAGCACATCACCAATTACTGTCCCCCATCTGTCCCTTGAAAGCCCCTAGAGTGCAGGCAGGCTTGCTGGACTTCCTGCTGTTCGGGAGCCTCATCTCAGCAGTGGACCCCGTGGCTGTGCTGGCTGTCTTTGAGGAGGTGCATGTCAACGAGACTCTCTTTATCATCGTGTTTGGCGAGTCCCTGCTCAATGATGCAGTCACCGTGGTGAGAGTGCTCAGCTGGCTGCCATTCCTGATCCCAGGGCCTCCCGCTCTGACTAGTTGGGCCTTCCCCCCACCACAGGTCCCCTGGGGAAGACATACAGTCTTAGCGCTCACCTCCTCCCAGCAGTCCCAGTTGCTGCCTTCCCCTTGTTCCTGACTCTCCGTTTCTCATTCAGGTGCTGTACAAGGTCTGCAACTCCTTTGTGGAGATGGGGTCTGCCAACGTGCAGGCCACTGACTACTTGAAGGGAGTCGGTCAGTATCTCCCCACTTTCAGCTAGCACTGCAGGTCTGCCTCCCCTGGGTTGCTGCATTCCTGTCCCCACTGCATCAGGGCAGAGGAGGTTTTTCAGGCCACCTCATTCCCTTCCCTCCTTTAAGGAGAAATGGGCCCTGAGAAGCTAAGAAGGAGGGTCTTTCTTGGGATCCTGCTCCCCGGGGAGTGCAGTGGGCATCCTCCTCCGCTCCCTGCCAGGCAGAAGTCTTGTCAGCCCAGGTTTGGTCCAGGGGTCATGCTGACAACCCACTCCTCCCCCAGCCTCCCTGTTTGTGGTCAGTCTGGGCGGGGCAGCCGTGGGCTTAGTCTTTGCCTTCCTCCTGGCCCTGACCACACGCTTCACCAAGCGGGTCCGCATCATCGAGCCACTGCTGGTCTTCCTCCTCGCCTATGCAGCCTACCTCACTGCTGAAATGGCCTCCCTCTCCGCCATTCTTGCGTGAGTCCTGGGGAACTTGCAGGCAGGCAGGTGGGAGGGGGCACTGGAGATGGTTGGCCCTTATATGGACAGATGCGGGGCCCTGAGGAGTCCATCGGTTCCCCTCAGCCCTTGTGGTAGTGGGAGCCTCAAACTCCCCTTGGGAGACAATAAACCTCAGGTAATGTTCCAGGATCTGCCTCCAGAACTTCCCTGGGGACCCCAGAACCCAATCTTCTTCGCCTGAAGTGCTCTTTGGGGTGTGGTCTGAGGTGGAATTGGCTTCAAGGCCTGGTGCCACTGGCTGGGGTGGCCACAGCAGTCCCAAAGGTGCCTCAGAAAGTGTGCTATTCAGAGCATGTTTCTCCTACCTACCCCTTCAAGAGCCACTGAGCAGGAAGCCTGGAGATATGAACCCTTATCCTAGGACCACCTCTAGCTATTCTTGGACGGTCTCCATGCCTCCTGGCCGGGAGAGTGTGACATCCTGTGATGGGCCACACCCTCTCCTGTAGCATGTTCAGACCCCAGAACTGCGCCTCCTGCGACCCCTTCTCACTTGCCTTGTCTCTCCACTCTTCTCCCAGGGTGACTATGTGTGGCCTGGGCTGTAAGAAGTATGTGGAGGCCAACATCTCCCATAAGTCACGCACAACTGTCAAATACACAATGAAGACCCTAGCCAGCTGCGCTGAGACGGTCATCTTCATGCTGCTTGGCATCTCAGCTGTGGACTCTTCTAAGTGGGCCTGGGACTCCGGGCTGGTGCTGGGCACTCTCTTCTTCATCCTGTTCTTCCGAGCCCTTGGTATTGCTTTCCCACTCTCCTTCCTGCCCCTGCCCCTGCCCCAGCTCATCTCCCAATCTGAGTCCACGTCCTTGTCAATTCCTAAGCCTTCCCTTGTTGCTATCCCCTCCCAGGCCCTGTCAGACCTTAGCCCAGGTACTTGGTGCCATCCACTGCCAGTGCGCCCCACTCCCAATCCCCTGCTCCTACTGGCCTCCCTCCTGCTGTAGGTGTAGTCCTGCAGACGTGGGTGCTGAATCAGTTCCGACTAGTCCCTCTGGACAAGATTGACCAGGTGGTGATGTCCTATGGGGGCCTGCGGGGGGCTGTGGCCTTCGCTCTCGTCATCCTACTGGACAAGACCAAGGTCCCTGCCAAGGACTACTTTGTGGCCACTACTATTGTGGTGGTCTTCTTCACAGTCATCGTGCAGGTGGGAGAGTCCGCAAGATCGGTTGGGAGAGGGCGTGGCAGGTCCTGGGGGAGGCTTGGAGCCTTTGAGATAGGGGCTCATCTTCCTGTTGCGGGGGCGTACAAGGGCCTTCCTTCCCAGACCTTGAATGCATTGAGGTCAGGATACAGAAGCTGAAGTCTAATTATGGGGAGGGAAACACTTCAGGGAACTAGGTAGGGCAGGGCTCACCTGCTGCCTGTCTGTAGGGCCTGACCATCAAGCCACTGGTCAAGTGGCTGAAAGTGAAGAGGAGTGAGCACCACAAACCTACCCTGAACCAGGAGCTGCATGAACACGTGGGTACCAGAACCCCATCCCTCCACCTGTCCCTCTCTCCCTTTTCCTATTTTGGGCAGAGTCCTGATCCAGTCCCCCTACCCACCCCCCTTCTAGACTTTTGACCACATTCTGGCTGCAGTGGAGGACGTTGTGGGGCACCATGGCTATCACTACTGGAGGGACAGGTGAGGGAGCTGCCCCGAGGCTCCTTCAGCAGCAGCAGCCCCACCAGCCAGGGCAGCATGGGGGATGTGCCACACTCCTGAGAAGGGACACAGCGGGCTCAGGCTGGGTGACCTCTGCCTGAACCCCTTCAGTGGCATCCCAGTACTCAGGATAATACAAGGCTCCCCAGTGAGGCCTGCCCGGCCCTGCATGGTCTGGCACCTGCTGGACTTCACCTCATTGTGCTCTGTTCTGTCTTTGACCATCTGCCTGTTAATTACATGGATCCTGCCTCAGAACCTCAGGACCCACCATGCTTCTCCCACCCTGGCCACTGGGACATTTACACATGCAGTTCTCTCTGCTAGAACATTTCCTCACCTCCCTTTCACCTGCTTAATCTCTGCTCATCCTTCAGATCTCACCACAACCATCAAGTCCTTGGGGAGGCTGTCCCTGGCCTCCCTGCTAGGACAAATCCCTATCACTCTCAGTAATTATTCTTTGTAGTTCTTGTCACGGTTGCAGTTTCATAGTTATTTGTACTAACTTCAGTTAGTGGCAGGCTTTCCCATAGCACAATAACTTCCATAAGAGCAAGGACTAGCTTCAAGATTTTTCCTGACTGAGGCCCATACGAAGAGAGCCAGGCCAGCACTGGTAGTGTCCCTGCCCCATTTGAGGAAGGGCCAGCTGGCCGGGCCATGGGAATGGCACTCAGGGCCGGGCCTGGCATCCTCTGTAGGTGGGAGCAGTTTGACAAGAAGTACCTGAGTCAGCTGCTAATGCGGCGGTCAGCCTACCGCATCCGGGACCAGATCTGGGATGTATACTACAGACTCAACATCCGGGATGCCATCAGCTTCGTGGACCAGGTGGGTCTGCAGCCTGTGGTGGGTGAGCAGGTGGCCAGGAGGGCAAGGTGGGAAGGGGGTGACTGACAGGAGACAGGCCCTGAGCAGGAAGTCAGGCACTCCTAGCAGACTCAATGGTCTTGTGGAGTGGCTGCTGCAGGAACCAGCCTGGCCTGATGCTGACATTCGGAGTCTGGCCGACAGCAGAGAAAGGTGGGAATCAGCTAAACTCTGGGTGACAGTTCAACCCTATCTCATCTCCAATGTGGTTCAGTGCTTATCACTAGGCTTGGGACCTTGGGTAAGTCACTTACACTCTCTGAGCCTCAGTTTCCTCAACTGTAAGAAAGTGGAACTAAGAGTGCCTGTGCCACAGAGTTTTGAGGATTCATTAGGTAAAGTTGAACCTTGAGCATCAAAAGAACGGAATGTGTTAACTTGTTATTCTTTTTGTTGCCCTCTGACACCTTCAATCTGATTGTCATCTGACCTTCCTCTTGGTCCCTCCAGGGAGGCCACGTCTTATCCTCCACCGGGCTCACGCTGCCCTCTATGCCCAGCCGAAATTCTGTGGCAGAGACCTCTGTCACCAACCTGCTGTAAGTCCTTGAGCCTGTTTCCCCTTCCTCAAGCTCCTCTCCATTGGGCCCTCTCTCTGAACCACCTCTGGGAAAGTCTGTGAGCACCTCGGCTTCTGCCCTTCCCCTGGCCTGTGCCTGCGGGCCCTTCCTCAGCGTGTGCATGCCCTGCCTCTTGCAGGAGGGAGAGTGGCAGTGGAGCGTGTCTGGATCTGCAGGTGATTGACACAGTACGTAGTGGCCGGGACCGTGAGGATGCTGTGATGCACCATCTGCTCTGTGGAGGCCTCTACAAGCCGCGCCGAAGGGTGAGAGCAGCCAGGGAGTAAGAGTTCTGAGGGGGTGAGGGTGATCTGAGGAGGCCATGATCGCAGGCTTAAGAGATGGTTGGCACCAGCTGTGGGGAGTTATAGATGCCCAACTGAAGAGTAGGGGCTTCATCTTGTCAGTAATAACTTTCAGCTTTTCTTTTTTGCGTAAGGGTTGGTCTGATACAAGCACTGTTTAAAGATGTCTTCTCTGCTAGCAGAATGCAGATCACATAGGAGGGGGTGAGTTGAAAGGCTGTGTGAGCCAGTTGAGAGGCTGAGTGAGTTAGTCAGGAGGCTGGAGTGCAACAGAGCTGGGTGGTGGGAGGGAGAGGAGCATAGGACTGGGTGATTGGCCCTGGAGGGGAGAAAAGGAGATGGAGAACAGAGGGCTTGATGGGGTCAGTCAGAGACAGAAGCAGGAGTGCTGAAAAAGCCTGCAGGACCAGCTTAGCACGGAGAAGGCAGACATCCATTTTAGGTAATGTGAGTTAGTCCGGTGCAGGTTGTGAAGTTTGGGGGCTAGAAAGGCCCATCCTCGTCCTGGAGGGAACCTGTCACAGCCCCAGAAGGGGGCAGCAAGCCGTTACCTTGAACTTTCCTGCAATGGGAAGCCAGCTGTTACCATTTCAGGCAGTTTTAGCAGTCAAGGCTGTTTCTACCATTGAGACAGAATTGGCCTCCTTTTAGCTTGCTCCCACTGGTCCTGATTTAACTCCCCGCAGCGCTGCAGAATGTGTTTGCAAACGTTTCAAGGCAGTTCCCTTCCACAGGCCTTCTGCCTTGAGGCCAGCATTTCTTCTTCCTGCTGTGTCTTCTCTGGTCATAGAAACAGGCCCACAATGGAAGGTGCAATTCTAGCTGCCATTAGCTGTGGCAGGACATGGAGCCTCTCTTACCTTTTCAGTTCTAGAACTTGCCATTCTTTTCTTGTAGCCCAGAATCCCTCCAGCTTTGGCTCACCACCCTGCAGCCCCATATTGTCCTTACAATCAGACAAACCCCAGTGTCTTCTTCAGTGGGTGTGTAACCCTATCTCATCTAACTTATTTTGTTTACTTTAAAAATATATATATAAATATATATGTGTGTGTGTGTATATATTGATTTTAGAAAGGAAGGGAGAGGAAGAGACATGGAAATATCAGTAATGAGAGAGAATCATTGATTGGCTGCCTCTTGCATACCCCTATCTATTGGGGATCAAGCCTTGACCCGGAATCGAACCATGACCTCCGGGTTCATAGGCCAATGCTCAACCACTGAGACATGCCTGCTGGTTTTGTTTACTTTTTTCTAATGGAAAATTTCATTCATCCACAAAACTAGTGAGAATAAAATCACTCATTTATCTATCACCCAGCTCCAGTAATTATCAGTGCATTATTTAATCTTATATTCTGGACCCCCATACCCCATCTACACTTTGTCGCAAAGAGAATTTCATCATATATCATATCATATCATATCATATATCATCTCTAAATGTTTCAGTATGTATCTAGGTGCAAAAACTCTTAAAAAACACACAACATACTACCATATCACTTATAATAGTTAACAATAATTCCTTCTCATATCAAATATCCAGTGTTCCTAAATATCTTTTTCCAGATGGTTTGTTTAAATCAGGATCCAAATAAAGTCCACACATTGCATCTGGTAAATTTGTCTCTTTATTTTAAAAAAAATATAATACTTCCTTCTTCCTCCTTTTATCCCCTTGTTATTTATTGATTGAAGACACTAGATACTTTGTCTCAGAGAATTTTCCATTTTACAGATTTTGCTGGTTATATTTCAGTGGTGGTTTTTAATTTGTTCCTCCCTCCTCTATGCTTCCTGGTAGTTTAGTCGAGAGGCGTGGTCATATTCCAGGAACATTCAATAAGTATGCTATGTGTTTCTTACCTATCACATCAGGATGTACATAATGATTGGCTGTCTATGGATGTGTGTGTGTGTGTTTAAGACTGGTCAGTGGGGTCTGTCCAACCTGTTCTTGCGTAATTAAAAAAAAAGAAACTGGAGTAAGATTGTGCTTATCCCTGTTAAATGTCATCTTATTTGATTTAGCCCATCATTCCATCGTTTGGATCCCATGTCTGCCACCAAATATCCGCTCAGATTCACATCTTATGAAAATTTGCTAAGCCTGTTAACTCTGTATTCATCCAAGTCAACATAAAAATGTTGAACAGGATAGAGCTGAGGACAGAGCCCTGTGGCATCCTACTAAAGACTTTCCTCCAAACTGACATGGATCAAGCATTTTTGGGGTATGGTTACTCAACCAGTTCTGAATCCGCTTAGTTATACCATAACATAATACGTAATTCCTCATGTTCTCCACAGAAATATCATCAAGGAGAGACAGGAGTGTCTAGTATGCAGTTAGAAATGTAAGATTATAGTTTAAGAGAGAGATAAGGGCTGTAGATAGATTTGGAAGCAGTCTTTATCACAGGTTTCCTCACCTGGCTACATCAGAATCCCCTGGGGAGCTTGATGGAATACACATTCCTGACTTCACCTCCTGCAGATTCTGATTCTGTAGTATGAATGCAATGAAGAAGCTGTGTGTTTAAATTTATATATATATATATATATATATATATACTGGCCCAAGTATTATTCACAAGACAGTGAAAAGGCTGTATACAGCTCTTCATCTCCCATGACTGAGTCACATCAAAGGAGATTTTCATACAGATGCTGACATAATGAGAAAGGCACTGGTCTGGCGTAAGGATGCCTGTGATATGATATACCATTTCCTGTGAAACACAGACATACACATGTGCTATTTATTTTGGTAGTACTTGATCTGTGGCAACTGCAGAAAAAAACTTGCTACAGGGCCCAATGAGATGGCCTAATTATTAGACAGGAGGCCTTTGTATTTTATTATTATTTCTTTAAAATTAATTTCAGAGAAGTAGGGAGAGGGATAAAGAGAAAGAAACATCAATGATGAGAGAGAATCATTGATCAGCTGCCTCCTGCACGTACCACACTGGAGACTGAGCCTACAACCTGGACCGAGAATCATTGAACCATGACCTCCTGGTTCATGGGTCGAACCTTAAACACTGAGCCATACTGGCCAGGCAAGAATCTCTGTGTTTAATACCTCAAACGCTACTCTCTATCAGAAAGGTAGAAACATAGTTTAAAGATTGACTGACCTGCGTTGATTTTTCCACATATATGAGCCTATTTTTAAAATCCTGTTCTTCAATACAAGAATTACTTAATATTAATGGTTAACTATGATGTACGTTTGCTGGGGAGAGTATTTAAAAGGGACAGAGGAAAGCCAAGGACAACACTGTTAGGAATGCACATGGAGGAAAAGAAAGGGGGGGCAGCAAAGGAGGAGAGAGAGGGAGTAGCAGCTGGTGTCCTGGACGCCTGGGGCAGAAGTGGGACTGGATGCCGCACAGAGGTCAGGCCAGCGCCTAACTAGGGGCTATGGCACTAGTGACCAGGCAGAAGGTAGCACTGGGGAGTTGCAGACCCTGAAGTTGTATTTCTGGTATTTAAGGGAATAATGGGTATGAGGGAAAGTGTCAATCAAAGTATAAAAGTCTGGCAGCAAGTGGGAGGCAGTGGGAGTCAATGGAAAAGTTTTCTTCGAGGAGGTAAGGGGGCAGTGGTGAGGGAGGGATTGAAGAAGCAGGAGGGGAGAAATAGGAGCAGGGAGCTGATGGAGGCAGCAAGGAGTGAGCTGAGCAAAGCGGAGGCTGGGTTGGAGAGCAAGGACCCCTCCCTCTACCCCCGAGAGAGGGGCACCTCTGGGTGAGTATGTAGAGGAGAGCAGGTGGGAGACTTTCAGGGAGCTCTTAGAATTGGTTCAGGGAAGCAGGAAATGTGAGGTATAGGAAAGGGGACAGACTGGGAATGGGAGGCAAGGCAAGATGATCTGGAACATGGTGGAAGATTACCACTAGAGAATGAAAAGACTGCCAGAGCCAAGGGCAGAGATGGGGGCAGTCTGAGGCGAGTGTGTAGTGGGTTTTTATGAGAAGGAGTTGGAAGGAGCAGTTGATGGGATTAGTCCTGAACTGGGCACGGGTGGTTGTTGGACTGAGAGGGTTCGGGGTGTCAGGAGAGAGAGATATGGGATTTCAAAGTGCTGCCTGAGGTATCATGGAGGTGGTTGTAGGAATGGCGAGAGTTCCACCTGGAGAGAGAATCCTGTGTAGCCAGAAGGGGGCGTGTGAGCCAGGCAAGTGGACAGGTTCATAACTGGAGGTGCAAAGCAAGAAGTGTTCCCCATGGACTCATAGGAACCCCCTGCTTCTGGTCACTTTAAATCAGAGAGAAGTGGGGAAGGGCAGTAATGGAGACGGGAAACCAGATTTGGGGGAATAGGTTCTGGGGTAAAGGAAAGTTTTCCCCCAGTGAACTGAAGATACAGACTGGCTGGATTCCTATTATATTTTTTTGTTTTGTTCTTGAAAAACTGGGCTGGCAAAGCCTCTGGTGACCATGGGGCTGTGGCCTGGGATTCCTGTGGGAGGCCAAGGCACCCAGCCTCATGGCAGGGTGGGGCTGTCGTTGCCAGTACAAAGCCAGCTGCAGCCGCCACTTCATCCTGGACGACGCGCAGGAGCGGCAGGACAAGGAGGTCTTCCAGCAGAACATGAAGCGCCGGCTGGAGTCCTTCAAGTCCACCAAGCACAACATCTGCTTCGCCAAGAGCAAGCCACGGCCCCGCAAGGCTGGCTGCAAGAAGGCACGTGCTGGGACCTCTGGGGCTGGAGACTGATGGCATGCAGTTTTGAGCCCCTCAAGTGTTGGAGTCCAGCCCAGGGAGACCCTTAGTTGGATAACACTCAGGGACTTAGTGGCAGCAGCACGCTGGGTTCCCTTTTGCATCTTCCTGGAGCCCCCAAAGGGCAAGGTGAGGCCTTCAAAGGGAGATCAGCCTGTTGGCCATGCAGTCACCTGCTGGGAGGCAGCAGGACTTCCTACCAGAAATGAAATGAGCAGGAGAAAGGCAGATTCCTTGGAGGGGGCAACTCCATAAGCCCCTAACTCAGCCCAGACTGGGGTATGGGTTACTCAGACTCCACATGTGCCTGGGGGGCCCAGGGATGGTGGAACCACTGGGACTGACACAGATTCCATCCCCTGCTACGTCAGGAAGACAACAGGGTTGGGGTTGGAGTCAGGACCAGAGGCTTAGGGTTTTTTTTCTTGCTTCTTAGAAGAATGGTGTGGCTAACACTGCAGCTACAAATGGGAAATCTCCTGGAGACCTGGGCTTTCGGGACACAGGCAAGCAGGGAGTGGGGGTAGAGGGAGGCTGAGGATGGGAGGGGTAGGGAAAAGGCAGGGACCCATCAGCCAGAATCCCAGAGGATCTACTCTGTGCTGTATTCAGTGCCAGAGCTGGGGTGCTTCCCTTCAGGCACGAGATGGGCACACTTGATTTTAAAGCTGGATGTGTTCAAAGCAGTTATTAGACTACTAGAAGCCTGGTGCATGGGATTCGTGCACTGGTGGGGTCCCTCGGCCTGGCCTGTGGGGATCAGGCTGAAACCGGCTCCGACATTCCCCGAGGGGTCCCAGATTCCAAAAGGGTGCATGCCAGGCCGAGGGACCCCACCAGTGCATGATGGGGGCCAGGGAGGGATTGTGGGAGGGCTCCAGGGTGTGTCCGGCCCCGGCTTGCCCAGTCCCTGATCAGGGCAAATTTGGCCGGCGGGTTAGGGAGGGACTGCAGGAGGTTGGCCGGCTGGAGAGGGACCTCGGGAGGGCTCCAGGGTGTGTCCAGCCTGTCTCGACCAGTCCTGATTGGCCGGACCCCAGCTCCAAGCTAACCTACTGGTCAGAGCGTCTGCCCCCCTGGTGGTCAGTGCGCATCATAGTGACTGGTCGAACAGTTGAACGAACAGACACTTAGCATATTAGGCTTTTATTATATAGGATTCGTGACAGGGGGTGTCTGATAGCTAACTACAGGTTACAGGCCCTGAGGACTTGGAAAAGGTGTCATGGAGAAGGGGAGAGCTTGGTCTGAGCCTTGAAGGATGGGGGACCCTGGGGCCCAGTGTCCCATCTTCAAAACCAGGATGAGCTGAACATTGATGGGCCTTCCAGCTCTCCAAATGCTCATGTTTTTTTCTTTTAATGTTTTTACTGATTTTTAGATAGAGAGGAAGGGAGAGGGAGAGAAAGATAGGATCGAACCTGGAACCTCTTGGTACATGGGATGATGCTCAACCCACCAAGTCATACCAGCCGGGCCAAATGCTCATGTTTTCAATTGATGGGATCTGGGGCTGAGAGGAGAAGATGGAAAAGCTAGAAAGTGTGACTTCCCTGATGGCTTCCTCTGAGGACTCTGCTTGCCCAGTTTTGCCTCCTTGGGATCTGTAGCTCCACTTCCCTTCCTTGCAAGCACCCACCCCGCTAGGCCAGGGCTGAAGCAGCCAGAGGAGAAGCAGGTGCCTCTGCCAGCTGTGGGCTCTGCTTGGGTGGAGAAGGAACTGGCTTGTGCAGTACCAAGAGGCAGGTGCTGGGCTGGCCATCCCGACTCAGCTCTTGTCCCTCTCCAGCTGCTGTGATCTTAACCGTGGAGTCGGAGGAGGAGGAGGAGGAGAGCGATAGTTCTGAGACGGAGAAGGACGACGAGGGGATCATCTTTGTGGCTCGGGCCACCAGTGAGGTTCTGCAAGAGGGCAAGGTCTCAGGTAAGGGCTTCCTCCCTGCCTCCCTCTCCTCTGGAGCAAGCTGAGCTGTGCAGTTGGCCTCTCCCTTTTCACTCACGGTCTCTACCCCAGACAACTCCCTTTCCCCATTCACTCATTTATTCACCACCAGCATTTACTGAGCATCACCTTTATATCAGACACCTGACGGACATGATTTGATTCAACCCTCACAATGACCAAGATGGGGAAACAGCTCAGAGAACCAGAACTTGGGACTTGTCCAGTATCCCACAGTAGGTCCAGAATGTGACTCCAAAGCCCACAGCCTTTTCACTGCCGTGCTGCCTCCCTTTATAGTCTGGGGCGGAACATGAGGTGCCAAGCTAATACCTGGCTCTGTGGTGACGCATGCTCAGCACACCTGCCCTCAGGTAGAGCCCCTGTTGAGAGTGGCAGCCTTTCTGGAGGTAGGAGCCTGAATTCATAGAAATGGGATTATTGTGGCTAAAAAACACTATTTTCTTGTTTCCGTATATGGAGAACTAACCCACTCATAAATATCACTGTGAGTTGGCCCAAGCACCCTCAAGTGTCTTTAAAAAATTTTTTATTATAGAAAATTTCAAAATATACATTAGATAAAATGGTAAAGTGAACTCCCATTGATCTGTTACCCAGCTTTAAGAATTACCTACTTCTAACCAATCTTATTTCATCTGTATCATCATTATTCACTGGATTCTTTTTAAAAAATGTATTTTTTTATTGATTTCATAGAGAGGAAAGGAGAGGGGGAGAGAGATAGAAACATCAATGATGAGAGAAAATCATTGATCAGCTGTCTCCTGCATGCCCCACACTGGGGATCAAGCCTGCAACCCGGGCATATCCCTGACCAAGAATCGAACTATGACCTCCTGGATAATAGGTTGACGTTCAACCATTGAGCCATACTGGATGGGCTCAATGGGTTCTTTTGAAGCAAATCTCTAATATCATATCACTTCATCAATAAACACTCCAGCATGTATCTCTAAAAGATGAGGATTCTTCTTTAAAGATACAACCATAATAAAATGTTCAAATTTTAAATCGTGGTTATCAAATATCCAGTCAATGTTCAAAATTCCCTGATTGTCTTAACATTTGTTTTTTACAGATTTCTTCAAATAAAAATCCAGATAAGGCCCACATACTGCATTTAGTCGAAAAGCCTTTTTTAACGTTTAGCAATGGTTCTCAAGTGGGGTGGAGGTGGAGGGATTTTTGCCTTTAGAAGACATTTGGTAATGTCTGGAGACATTTTGGGTTGTGATGACTGGAGGGGTGTACTTGCATAGAGTGGGCGGAGGCCAGGGGTGGTGCTAAACATCCTACAATGCACAGGCCAGCCCCCACAACAGAGAAAGATCTGTGCCAACATGTCAATGGTGTCAAGTTTTTATAGGTTCCCCCAAACCTCTGCCACCTACCTTTTCCCCCCTTGCAATGTATTTATTGAAATAACCTGGTTATTTTGTTCCATAGTCTTTCCTTGTCGGGATTTTGCTAATTGCATCCCAAAAGTGTCATTTTTGTATCTTTCACTGTCCCTTATATTTCCTTTACTTATTTTTATTGGTAAAATATTTAAAAACAAAAGGAATTATTTCTTGACATTGGCCAGAGAGCTTCTCTTTCCCAGGTTTCCTCTTTCAGAACCTCAGACTTCCTGTCCTACAGGGGCTGAGCCTTCCATCCTGGCTGCCAGCATTCTGGGATTTTCAGCTCATGTCCTCCGTGCTCTGGCACTTCCTTTTTGGCACGGCTTTAGTCTGCTATTAGGTTTGTATGAGCTCACACTCCTGGGCTCTGTCCCACCAGAGGGCTGTGGTGGGTGCTCAGACAGGGCTCCCAACAGCAAAGCCTTTGGCTGGAGCCCTGAGATCTTCCTCACCCTCGCTGCCATCTCACCCTGGGATGGGGCTTGGCAGGAGACGGCTAGTCGGGTGAGAGCTGATTACTAATGGGGCTTTTTTCCTGCCTGGCTCATGCTTTCTCTTGCTTTAGTTACTTTCATTTTTCAAAGGGTATTTGTTGAGCAACTACTATGCGCCCAGCCCTGTGCTAGGTGCTGGGGATACAGTGAAGAGTAAAAACCAGCTGTGGAGCTTCCCTTCAGCAAGGCATTCATCAAATGATCACACAAGTGGATGTAATATGGCAACCGTGGAATGAATTTATTGATGAAAATGTAGAGTTGAGAATTCCATTGTGTTGGTACTGAGTATGTGTGTATTCTCTGTTCCCAGGGAGCCTTGAGGTGTGTCCGAGTCCACGTATCATACCCCCGTCTCCAACCTGTGCAGAGAAGGAGCTACCCTGGAAGAGTGGGCAGGGGGACCTGGTGGTCTACGTATCCTCGGAAACCACCAAGATTGTGCCCGTGGACATGCAGAAGGGCTGGAACCAGAGCATCTCATCCCTGGAGAGCCTGGCATCCCCGTCCTGCACCCAGGCCCCAACTGTGACGCGTCTGCCTCCCGGCCCGCTGGCTGCTGAAGAGCCCCAGGCCCCTCTTGACCCGCGCCCTAGCTTCGCCTTTCCCCCGAGCCTGGCCAAGGCTGGCCGCTCTCGCAGTGAGAGCAGCGCTGACATCCCCCGGCAACAGGAGCTGCAGCCCCTCATGCAACATGAGGACCAGTCGCATCTTAGCCCAGGCACTGCGAGCTCTCACTGGTGCATCCAGTTCAACAGAGGAGGCCGGCTGTAGCCCAGGGACTCGAGGGGGAGCAGGAGACTGGAGTCCCTGTGGGAAGTCTCCGCACAAAGGGCAGAGGAGCCCACTCAGCCTGACATTTAGAGGGGCCTGGACTGAAGTAGCAACTGGGCTCCTTAAGGGCAGGTCAGAAGGGTCTCCTGGGCTGGTCCTTAAAGGGGCCCTTTTCACCACCACCGCTGCTTCTAACGCCTGCCACCTCCCCTTTCGGTGAGACCCTGACCCTGGCTCAAGACCCAGTCCAGAGCTAGGGACCAGGCCCAGAGTCTTGGATTGCTGATGTCCCTTCCCCAGAGGGTCTCCCTGGAGGCACTTTAGGCAGTTTCCTGCCTCCAGTGCAAGGGCATCATTCCTCAGCGGACACTGGCCTTTCCTGCCCTCCATCCCCTCCTTAGCACCAGCTCAAGGACAGTGGCAATGAGGTTCCTCAAGGGGCTGGTCCTCAGAGGGCTTGGGTTGGAGGTGGAGCAGGTCTCAACCTCGGGCTTTGCTGCCCTGTTACATCAGCTACCTATAACCAATTTTTTTTTTTAGGGCATTGGGAATCTGTCTTCACTTTTTGCTTTATCTCCTTCCGTTTGCTGCCAGTTATTGGGGTGATAGCTCCTTCTTTTCCAGGACTAAGGCCACGGAGCTGGGCCAGGCTTCAGGTCAGGGCTGCTGTTTAGCCAGGGTCACTCTGAGGCTCTGCTGCTCTGTGTCCAACTCTGGACCTTTCAGGTCCTTGGGTCTGGTTTTCTAAGGAAGGGAGACACTGACTACTTTGACATTTCGCAAACAGGAATGGAGCCAGGGCCACTGCTCCACTGCTCTGGGGGCTGACAGGGTGGCAGGTGACTTTCCTGGGGTTAGCACCTGCCCTGTGTTTTATACCTTGAACCGAAGCTACATTAAACGTCCCTCAGATGGATGGGTGTCCCGTGTCCATGTGTCTGGGGATCTAGGGGCATGGGTGACAACAAGGGCATTTAGTGAGGGAAATGGCAACTTCTAGCTGCCTGTCCCAGGGCTTCTGGGCTAGAGACTGGAGGGGGATCCTGGGAAGGACTATTAGGCCCTCTGGCCTCCCCTCCCTCCTCTCCTGTACCTTCCCAGTATTGTCCCCTTTCAGGGGCCTGCAGCGACAGTCCAAGATCACTATGGGCACAGGGTCACAGAACTGGAAGTCCACAAAATGGTGAAGGCCAGCAGAAGAGGCCCCAGAGGTCAGGTGCCATGGTGTCCAAGGATGCAGCCACCACACGACCGATGAGCCTGCCTTGAAAACGTGAAGGCAGGTGCAGGACAAATGAACAGCAGTGCTCTGCACATGGTGGGTGGGAGGGCAATCTCAAGGGAGCTGGCTACTGTGAGTGATTTTGATGCAAATCGGGTAGTGTGGGCTCCAGAAACATCTAGGGAGACATTCCTGGTAACAGCAGTTCCAGATTCAACTTCCTTAAAGGGGAATTGTGTCTGAAGGACTTTTAAAAATTACATCTGTCTTGCTCTGGCCAGTGTGGCTCAGTTGGTTCAGTGTTGTTCTGTGCACCAAAAGGTCCTGGTTTGATTCTGGGTCACATACGCAGGTTGCAGGTTCCATTCCCGGTTGGAATGCATGCAAGAGGCAACTGAGTGATGTTTCTCACATTGGTGTTTCTTTCTCTCTCTCTCTCTCTCTCTCTCTCTCTCTCTCTCTCTCCTTCTCCTTTCCCCTCTCTCTAAAATCAATAAAGAACATTAAACAATACATCTATCTTTACTAAGATATAACATACATACCTTAAAATTCACCCATTCAGAGGTTTTTAATATATCGAGTTGTGCAACACCACATTCTAAGTTTAGAACATTTTCATCATTCCCAAAAGTTACTCCTTATCCCTGGCTCAGCGCTAGGTAATCACTAACCCACTTTCTGTCTCTAAAGATCTGAAGGACTTGATACACTGCCAAGGTTACAAATAGAGTCACTTTTCCTGTTAGGCATGGGGAAAGTGGGAAGAAAAGAGTGATGCAAACTTTGCACTCAAGTTGTTTACAGATGGCAGTGATAAGGCCTAACAGTTAACAGTCCCAGCTGTCATCTTTTTTTAATTTTATTGATTTTTTACAGAGAGGAAGGGAGAGGGATAGAGAGTTAGAAACATCGATAAGAGAGAAACATCTATCAGCTGCCTCCTGCACACCCCCTACTGGGGATGTGCCCGCAACCAAGGTACATGCCCTTGACCTGAATCGAACCCGGGACCTTTCAGTCCTCAGGCTGACGCTCTATCCACTGAGCCAAACCGGTTAGGGCCCAGCTGTCATTTTAAACATGTTACATACTCTCTCTGAGCCTCAGTGTCTTCATCTCTAAAATGGGATAACAATGATATTTATTTCATACGGTTGCTATCAGGATTCAATGGTAAAATGAGAAGAATCTAATACAGAGCCTGGCCCACGGGGATCACAAATGTTGGTCATTATTGATCTTATACTATAAGGCAAAGAGCCCTGACAGGAGGAGAGATGAGAGTGTGTGTGTGTATGTGTGTGTGTGTGTGTGTGTGTGTGTGTGTGTGTAGGGGCTCAGATAATAAAGGCAAAGTTGGATGGGTGCATTCTAGGTAGAAAGAGCAGCCATAAACAAAGGATGCTTAGAGCACACTCAGCAAAAATCAAGAAGCAGCGGGTGATGTGGTTGGGAGAAACCAGCCAGGGACCCAAGGCTTGGGTAGGCAGACTCTGCTGATGTGTTTGTTTGTTTTTGGCAGATGGCTACCTGCTGAGTCTTGGGGGTCTTCCAGAGAGAGCTGGCCTGAGAGAATTTGGATCTGGGAGTGGTGTGGGCACTGATGTGCTTTAGGAAGCACAAATGTAGCTGAGCCAGATGGAAGATATGTGAAATCCCAGGATGGGTTGGTAGGGGAAAGGCTAGAGGAGACCTGTTGGGAGGCAAATCCAGCAGCCCAGGGACGTGAAGGGGCTGGTCCCGGAGAGGAGGCAGCCATTCTCAGACTTTAGTGTCAGCATCATCAAGGAGCTTATCAAACATGCAGAGTCCCGGGCTGACCAGAAAGGTTCTATGGCGTAGGGGAGAGGGTACAAGGGGGTCCTGGACCTGGTGCTGGGTAACTAAGAACCGGGACTGCAGGCGGATAGGGTTGGTCAGAGGCAAGGGGGCTGGGGGGAAGAAGGCAGGTGAGCACAGGCAGGGGAGACAGGCATCTGGATTCCAGGAGAGTGAGCAAGTCAAGAGCTCATCTATGGGTTACCACCTGACTGGGCAGAATGGCAGAAATGGCCTTCAGTGCCACCTGAGCTGCATCCGGGCCTTGAAGGAAGGATTTTGACCTGGGGAGATGGGTGTGTGCATTCCAGGTAGAGAAGAGGTAACTAAGACTTGTAATTAGATCAGTTTTGCAGGCCAGTATAGGACCTGGACAAGGAAGGCTCGGATGATGCCTCTGAATGGCCTTGAATGCCACACTAAGGAGATTGGAGTTTATTTAGGTGAAAGGTGAGAGAGGTCTAGAAGGTTAGGGGTGTATGTCACCCTCGCTATCTGGGGCAGTATTGAAGAAGAGTATGTAAATTTGGGATGGAGTAAGGGTAATGAGTACAGGTCTCTTATCACTAGGTCCACTGAGGCACAGAGCATTTTATTTTTGATTTATTTATATTGGCAAGGAATGGGAGGCTGAGGGAAGGCTGGGGAAAGGGCAGGGGAGGGAAGCCCATTCCCATTTTATGATCTCAGTGGAAAAGGCTGCTGTGAGTATATTCTGCTGCCAGGAGAGCCACCGAGATGGGCCCCATGAGTCACTGCTCAGTCCTGCAATCTCAGCCCACAGAGCCTGCTGTGGTCAGCAGCCCAGGCTGGCTCCGGGCCCAGACCCCAGTATTCCTCACTAGGCCTCAGGCTGTCCCCATTTCTATCTGTATCGTCGCCATCCTGGGGCCGCGCATCCTGTAGCTCTCTGCCTCATTTATGTCCCTTTCAGATGAAGCCTCTGAATCTTGTCTCCATTTGTGAGCCTGGCTTACATCTGGCTCATGGATGGAGAGCCGCGGGAGGGCCGGGGCAGTGTGACCAACCTCAGGCATCCCTTAAGCATTTATTATTGCTGGAAGTACAGAGTGGACAGCACATAGTCTCTGTTTTCATGAAGCTTACAAGGCACATTCTATGTGGAGTGAATAACCCAAGCCCTGGCCCTGGCCCGAATCTGTTTGCCTGTGCTCAGTGGTGCTGGGTTTAGCTATGGCCTGTGGCTTGGGGCCTCTTATTTACCTCTGGCATTAAAGGGATATGTGTGCCTGCCAGCAGGTTCCCCCCCTCAGCTCTTAGGGCTCCTAGGGGGCCTGGCTAGTGGGTGGGGATGGGTAGACAATGGGGAGCAGAAGGGGTGGGAGGGAGCAGGAGGCAGTGACTCAGTGGGGCGGCCCTGGGACAGCTGGGGAGGGAGCCAAGGTTGGACCTGATGCTCACTGAAGCTAGAGGAGGGTGGGATGAGAGGACCCACTGGGGGCTGGGGATGGAGCAGGACAACTCCAAGGCTCCTCTCTCGCAGCCAGATCAGCTCATGAAGGAGGCTCCTTGGTAGCTGAGAGTCTGGGCTCTGGGTGCTGATGGGACAGCTGGGAGGAGGGGGGATTGCTGTTCCCACTATGCCTGCTTCTGATGCTCGGCTTCCCTCCTCTGGCTGCCTCCTTGGGCTCACAATGCCTTAGAGTCAGGGAAGCCATTGCACCCAGGAACCAAGGGCCTGAGCATGTTGTGGGGCATAGTGCCTTCTTTTGGCCACGATCTTCCCACAAATTTTGGGGAGTGTTAGGCTAGGCCCACAAGTCTCAAAGGGACCTCACACTTCAGAACGGGGAGGGATCTCACAGGCCAACTATCCAAGTGACTTTCACCAGTTGAGGATCCATGATTGAGGGTGAAGTGAGGGGCAGGGCACCAATACAGGCCAAGTGCTGGCAGCAAGTGGACGTACGACATACGGGGTCTTCCCTAGTCCTCATGGCAATCCCAAGAGAAAGAAATGACTTTTTTTTTTTTTAACAGGTGAGTAAGGTGAGGCTCAAAGAGAACGGAGTTGCTGGAGTTCACCCAGCAGGTAAGTGGAGGAGCAGGCGGGCGGTACTATCTCTCTGCTCTAGGACCAGGCCTCATTCCTAGCCTCCTTGGCTGGACTTCGTGGGGAAGGGGTGTTGGCTGAGGAAGGAGTGTATGTGAAAGGAATGTTAGGGAGTGGAGGGGCTGGGCCTGGTGGATGAGTGGATTCGGCCAGGCCTGGGTCAGCTCCCACCCCAGAGACCTCCCTGCCCCTTCCCTCTTCCCATCATGGGACCATACAACTTGTCTCTTGGGGCCTGGTCTTGGGGCCTGGAGGGAACATGGGGGTTGCAGTGGCGGGGACCCTCCCTCCCACCCTCCATGAAGATACCCTGACTGGCTCCTAGCAGCTCATCTGGGCTTAGGGAGTCTGTCTTCCTAGGGGCCGCCTGACTAGACCCACACTTTTCTCCTGGCTGAGAGAAATTAGCGCTCCTTGTTTTGCTTAGGGAGGCTGG